GTTGCTGATTTGATATGTAATGATAAAATGTAGTATATTTGTTGTAGTAATTGAATAAAACTAGAATTACAATGCTAGTCTAACCTATCAACATTTTTCAAACATCTAACTCACAATAAACAGTCACGGATATACACGTTATTTTACCCAACACTATTGTTTAAATTTATCTTTCAATTTGGTATTTGAAAATTGAAAAGATTGTCACAAATGCCAGCCCTCACAGACTTTGAAAGTGTCAGTTTAAACAAAACGCCCCGAAACACAAAGGTAACATATAAACAAACGAATTCCTAATCCAACTTCAAAAACATTTTTAACATCTAGATTGAAATTACATGTTGATATGAGATAAACAATTTTATATGAAAAATACTTGTTTTTTCTTCGAATTCAGTAATTACAGAGAGATAAACTCAGCATAAGTTCTCAGTTTTCTCAGGGTGCGACGCCTGTTTTCAATTATATATGCATGATTTAAAATCCTTATCCAAAATAAGTAAAAAAGATTGAAATGATTTTTTCTCCAATGCTACATATTTTCACTAAGAAGATGGAGATGAACCAAACCTACAACAGAAGTATAGATCTAGAATTTGGATCTGCATTCTTAGGTCAATGATAGGTAAAAAATATAACATCTACTTTACAATCATAGTCTCTGTTTCTACAGCTCTGGACCATAGTATATTGCCGTGTCTGATCAACTTAATAAGAATGTTGCTGTTGGCTACACGTTCCTGAAATGTATAGCGCTCAAGTCGATTGGATTGAAAGATTCCATACAAAGCGTAGTGGAAGGGAGATTTGACTATAAGAAAAGAACATAACATCAACATCACTTTACACTCTTCAACCATAGCCCATTTTATTTAGCTCTGAAACATCGTATACAAGGGCGTAGAGTACGAGGAGGTGTGGAGGTGTCACACCCCCTATTTTTTAATGAACTTGTCGGCAAAACGCGGAATCGGTCGGTAAAAGGCGGTAATGGCTGCAACCATATGACATATAACATCATAACTACACAAGGTAACCGGCTAACCAGACGGTTCTAACGACGGCTCCAGACATTACCATTTTTTTTTTCTTGTGTCGGTTACGATGCTATTGGTAAACTATTCGTCTACAATAAAAGAGATTGTCGGTAAAACTGTTTCAGTTGTACCAAGCAACAGGTCAACAAGTTGAGTGCAACATTTCAAATGACTTGAAAGATCTTGATTCTACTGAACTTGTCGGTAAAACGCAGAATCGGTCAGTAAAAGAACTATCCGCTGAAGACATCGTAAAATGACCACGACATTAAATTTTGATGGGAATTGAAGTCATCGAATCACTTTTTAAAACAATATTTTCGTAATAATATTTTGTATCTAAATTGTATCTTTGGCAAGTCAGTTTACCAAATTTTGATTCTTTTGACAATGTATTATGTCTAGACTTGTGATGTTTAGGATTGGGTATTTGAACATTATTAACGGTATTCATCAAAAATTGTTAGAAACGGTATCGTTTTACTAACTTTTTCAAATTATTTTAACTTATCACGACTTTTATAATCATTTCATCTCTTCCATCAAAGGACTTTTCATAACATGACCCTTTCAGTTTCATAATTTAAATAATTCTAAACATCAAAGACTAACTTAGTCAACATTGTAAAGCAAAGCAAAGTATCAAATGTTATTGAAATGTGCCGAAGTTATTGGACATATGACGAAGTTCTCATCATTACTCTTTGTGCGAGATGAAGGGGGCAATTTCTGCGAATAAAAATAGTCACTGAGAGTTTAAAGTTAAAATAAACACCAAAGTTGACAATGAGAGATTTCACGTATAAGTGGTTAATAGCAGTTGTGTCTCTAAACTGCATAGGAACATTCACCAAGCTTACGTTGTCGAAACACAGAACATCGACTGACAATTACTTGTTAAATTATGTTTCCCCATTGTAACGATGTTTGATTAGATTCTGCCACCCTTGGTGGCTCTTTCAAAACCAGTCCATTAACATGCAGATAATTTGCAAATGAAATGGAACATGAGTTCTCGGACCACATTTTCCACTAAGCTAAGGCCGTTTTCGCGCGATCTTGTTAAATCCAATACAATGAAGATGAACATGAACTTTCAAAACTCGTTTCATGCTAAGTACGTTTCACGGTCGACAACCCTACTTTACTTTAGTACATCAAGACCAAATGAATTAGTATTAACCATTTCGTGCACATACATAGTGGCGTAAAGACAGTGTATGCTCGTGGTAAAACAACGTTGTAAGCATGTTATTTTAAAGATAAATTCGCCAAGACTTTTTTCCATATGGTAAAGTAAATCTGATACTGAAATAGTTAATAAATTGTGTATTGTGTAAATGTATTCATTCGCTATGATTCGTACTAATTCGCATAATCTTTATATAAAAAATATATGCTTGTACACCTTGAAATTACTGAATAAAACATGTTAAGTAATTAAGTAAAGTTATTTCCGTTGATCTGTGAGCTTCCTTGGGTGGCATTTAGTAATTGGGGAGTCAATAACGTGTATATGAACAATAATTAATTTTCCACATCGAGACACTGATATTCTCGTCTTTATCAAGCAATGATGATATGATAATCCGAGATATTATTTACATGCTCTTTTCGTTTGGAACACCTTTGCAAAGATGAACGTATACCCTGTCCCCTAACCTAGGAAACAACTAATAATATTAAATAACGGAACTAATAATATGTGTCTGTTGCAGTAATATGAATATATTTGTAGTGCGGGTATGGGGAACTGACATGTAAATATCGCATACTCGCTCTGTTGGAACCGTCTGTGCACGTCTTCGATTTGTAAATCGAAAAAGAGTTGGCCAATATACCCCTACCTAGACCGAATAATCGGTCTCTATTCCAGCCAGACTATTTGGACAAATATCGGCCGGTGTAGAGACAGAAAAAAGGCCCTGTTAAATGGAGACATTCCGCATCTCCCCAGGGTTTTAAACCTATTTAGATATCTCATATCTGCACAACCCACATATATTTGGAAAGATGAGTATTTTTGTAGTTCAGTCTTGCCATCATTTTCTCGATTTCTACACCATTCATGTCACGTCTCTCGTCAGCCATTTAAAGATGCGTGCGCAACCAGGAGTTAAAGGGTCACAGGGTCGCATGATACTAACAAAATGAAAGTTACAATGATGCCCAACACTAATTTAAAGTCATCGTGAATGTTGTGGTTCAGTCATGCCATCATTTTCTCGATCCGTACACCATTCATGTTACGTCCCTCGTCAGCCTTTTAAAGATGCGTTCGCAACCAGGAGTTCAAGGGTCACAGGGTCACGTGATGCTAACAAAATGAAAGTTACAATGATGCCCAACACTAATTTATAGTCATCGTAAATGTTATTTAATATTATGTAATATGTATATATTTTGAACAAACGCATTTTCGGAGGTGTGGGAAATGCTCATTAAACAGGGCCTATTTTTCTAACTCTACTCCAGTCGATTACTGTCAAAATACATATCAGAGGCTTGAATATAGGCAGATATTTCGGACTAGCTCTTACCCTGCTCTCTGTACGCCATTGTCCTTTATTATCCCTATCAGGTGCAGAAAAGTAAGACGTAAATATCCATCTAATTTTACTTGCAAACCACACGATGATTCGAGTAGAGTTTATATAAAAGAAGAGTTTCAAGTTTCAATATTAAAGCTTAATAGGGAGTAAGTAGTAAACCATGATAGTTTAGTCTTCATTAGGCTCTGTTGAGCATAGTGATTACCTAGATACAATAGCACACGTTTTATCCTTATGTAAACCAGGTTTGTTTTTGAGTAAGTTTAGTGTTTAGAAACCACATATATTAATAGTAATTTGGGGGGCTATATAGGATGCATACCAGTTTCATTTAGTTTTTGCACAAATTATGCCAATTAGCATTTTGTCTTTAAATATATCGGTACCAACTAATCAGATCTCATTTTCACTTTTCACAACAAAATCAGACAAAATCTATCCTTTTTACAATTCCACTAAAATGTACAGCTATCACTATTAAAGGTTTTCTAATGAATGTTTGAAGACGTTACTAAACAAAATATGCTTGTATATCACAAAACGCTCTTCAACACACTTAGTTTTAGTGGAATTGCAGGAATTGTTAAAGCAATGGTAGACATCAAACTGCGACAAAACATATTAAGCTGCTCATGTCATTTCAGTAATTTAAAAGTCTATAGACCGTTGGTAATGTCACATCGACACACACAATAGCTTCTTACACAAGGAAATGTTCTATTTTTCATTTTTTAGTTAAGATATTATGAACCTAAAAATAAACTGCATAACATCTCAAGCCCCAATAATCAACAATTAAGGAGATCGTCCTTACTCCCTCTTAGCGAAGGTCTAAATATAACTTGATTTCATAACCGTGAGTGTCCGTGAGTATATATTTATTACGTTGTTTTGCTTGGTATAGGTAGGTATCAATGAGGTTTATTAAAGCTCCTTGGTTGGTACTACCGTGAAATTTGTCATCGTCAAATAGTATTATTTATAGTAAACAATAAGAATTAATATAGAGTGAAATATGACTTCAGAAACTTCATAAATTTGGAAGAACATTGGTGAATAGTTTTGACTGCTCGTAACAGTAGAAAATATTTTGCTTTGTGCTGGTAACCTTTAACGAACGTCTCAACAATTTGTTAAAACATTATACATGTTTTTGGGGCATTAATTTGTTGTTGAAGTGGAAATGAACGAGGTACGGTATCCGCTACGGCGTATGTTGTGGGAATGTGGATACACTAGAATATAGAAGAGGACAATTGTATCTGAAATGTACCCCGCGTATGTGCTTTTTATATTTCCTGATACATGTACATGTATATCGATAGTTACGATAATATCACATCGAGCACCATACCTAATCTAATCCTACTTTAATCTGAAAATTTTATTCACAGTTGACTGGCTTACCGTGATGAAGAGATTTATAGTAACAGATACCTTTGTTGTCCTTTTATTAATTCTGACGGTTGTTAAATTATCAAATGGTAAGTAATAAATAATTATACAAAAAGTAAAATTAAAATTTAATTATATTATATCTTTATACTGTAAGATGGGAAAGCATGAGATCGAGAGATTGAAACCATTGGAGAAATTGGCAGGTTCATCTTCAAATCCACTGAATTTAAAAATCAAAATAACTGTTCAAAATGGTGGTACTATTTCGTGCGATTAAGAGTGTCAACTATTGGCTTTTTCTTGTGAGAGAAGTCGGGAGCAGAAAATGACCACAGCAGGCTTCTATAAAACACATATAAATCGATCCTATTTCCCGCCACCAGAATTCTTCCGACCACCATGTGAAGATGTTACTGGCGAACACAATGACTCTAGAGAACACGATTCCAATAAACCAGCATAATGATTATTTTGTATTTTATGTAATGATATTCCAGGTATTAAAAGTTCTACATGTCCAAGATGCGATGAACATAACTTATCATGTCCAAGTGGTCAACAAATTGACATCTCATCTGCTTATCACGGTTTTACACTAAAGGATAATACATGTAAAGATTGTAAAGAAGAATGCTGCAAGTATTATAAAAATGATTGCCTGGAACTTTATCAAGGTTTGGAATACGGTCCACCTATGAGATGTTGTGGTAAAACAAAATGTACTCTGAAAGGTTCCGTCGGTGATCTGAGTTATTGTAAACGGTACAAAAACTTCGCATATGAAAATATTAGCTCCTATTCTGAAATAAACTATAGATGTATTGATGGTAAATATGGATTTCTTATTATTCAATTAATTCAATTCAATTGAAGATTACCCATGATGGATTCAACAGCAACCATGACATCAGGTCTTCTAATCTTGAAATTGATAGAGTCCAGGTCCCACAAGTTGCTGGCTTCAGTTGAACATATTTGTTTACATATTCTACAGGTTGACCTTACCCGACCGTTAAGTTGTACATCATTACATTATAACTCGTGAAATATTCGTTCCACTCAATAACTTTAGGTTTGATAACCATGACATAACTTTTGATGTAATCTAATCTATTACAATGTAATTTTTATTTTCAGAACCGACAATCAAACCATCTGGTGATTCAGGTTGGAAGGAAATGAGCTCCTTACAAGTGGTTATTGATGGAATGAAACCTAATTATTGTACCTATTCTATCGTTTCTTATCTTTATAACTTTTTCCAAACTAATACAAAAGGCACCAGCTTTCGAATTCATCAGAATTTGATGAAATCCAATGTTCACTATTCTGTGATAGGATATTCAACATTTACCACTCTGCCTAATACTGATGTCTACATTGTTGTATCCGGTAAGTATAATATAGGGGCGTTTCGTTCATTCGTCTAATACCTTGACTTCATTAGGCACTATTCCTGTATCACAGAAGTTTGTAGGCCTGAATAGGGCCTAGAGCGATTTCATTGACAACAAGTTATTAATGATGACAAAGTATTAGAGGGATTTCGTAATGGGTTGACATTGACATTAAGCAGATATTAACATTAGCAAGAGCTTAAAGATGGGTTCTAATGACTTGCAAAAATACCATTAATTAGCTAAATTAGAAGAGAATTACCAGCAGAATTCCAATAAGTGACCGATCAAGAAAGGTCAAAGTCTTTTTTGTTTATCCAGACTGTACATACACGAGCATTTATTGGTTAGAACTCTTAATAAAATGCCATTAGAATACGAATACATGATATTTCATTATGAACACCAACACCAATCAAACAGTTTGCTTAATTTGACACTAAAAAAATAAAGAAACCTATCTTTAATTATATTTCACACTTTAGAAGGAAAGTTCAATACTCGATTATGTTATTTACATGTATACCAAAAGTGATGACGATCTATTATAAGAACATACTTAACTTGACATGGTTTGAGAGATATTGAAAGGAACTCTTGTCTTTTTTAGGTTATAATAGATTACACACATACGATTCTGGGCACATAATTACAGTAAAATATAGATGTAGTGATGAATTTAATGAAAGTAAGTATTGAATTATTATTGTAACTTTAATCTTATTGAAACCTAATCATATGATTTAATATCTGCATGCGAGATCGGATGAACTAAACAGAAATAAATGTGTAACTGTGATATTATCACTATGCTGCTAATTTCGTAGACGGTAGAGTTTGGCAATTCCAGAACACTTCACTCACCCCCTGATGAAATTAAATAAGATGGTTTTTTACATCCTCCTTTTCTGAATCTGATTAGCCTGACGAGACTCATTTTCATAATATGAATCATCATCCCCATTGTCAAATATTATTAAAAAAAAGCACTGAATATATTGTGTACTAACGACCTAAAGAGATTTTCTAAAATTTTTATGTGTATGTGTAATTTTTATGGGACACTGATAGCATTAAATTGCTCCATTCCAATTTTCAGTCAGACGTCTGCGGTTTCATTAAAACTAAGTGTTGCTAATGTGATAAAGTAAATTTTGCGATTAGTGACGTCATCAAACACTTAGTTTTAGTGGAACCGAAGACGCCGGATTGAAAATTGGAATGGAGCAATTTGATGCTATCAGTGTGCTCGATACACCTACAAAACCTTTTAAAAACCCATTAAGGTCCCGCTATCCTTTCAATGCTATTTTTTTTACAATTTTTGACAATCGAAATGAGGACATGTTTCATAAACGTTCTTAAAATATTCCAGGTGCAATCGAGTCAACGACTATGATTTCGGCACAAACTACGGAAAGATTTATGTTGAATGAAGTAACTGAAGGTAAAGAAGATTTCCTAGGAGAAGAAGCCAACAGTCAAACAAGAGAAGAATATGATAATGCTCAAATAAAGGGTATTGGATAATTACTACTTGATTAAATAAATCAAATATAATAGATTTCGGCGTTCAAATTCAAAATGCCAGTTTGATTGATAACTTACCTTGCTGATAACGATCCGTACCGGTTTGATGAAAACGGGCCATCGTTGCGGTTGAAGACAACACATTGGGGTTTCAACATTGCTGAAAATTATAATTTGTACGAGGTCCAAGGATTTTGTGTTTCTCGTTAACAGATTGCAGTTTTCAGAACGTTGAGTTTTTCAGCTTTCAATTTCAAATCGCAAGAAGAAGCTAAAATTGATATTATTATATTTCGTTACCTTATAATGGAGAAATGACCAAATTTTTTGTGTCTTTTGTCCTCTGCATGTGTAATTTGATCAGCTCTTAAAAAACAATCGCACCACCGTGTGATTTGACTAGTTCTTTTGCAAAGAGCAACGTGCAGCTTGAAAGCAATCTTCGGAGCATTTTTCTGATGTTATTTCTTATCTAGGCGAAGAAAAAAATGAAAATGTTCTTGTGGGCAGTCTTGTTGGTGGTGTAGCTGGTTTGTGTCTAGTTCTTCTGATAGTTGCTTTTATCATCTTTATTTTTAAGAGAAGGTAATGAAGCAATTAAACTTCAACAACTATGTTGTTTGTTTTAGGCTGTGAGGACCGGGCATTTTTCAAGTCGGTTTTTGTATTTTTATGCGGTAAAATGATGCACATTGTGTATAAATAATGATACGAGGACAAACCCAAATGATTCGTTACGATCAGAATAATTTAACGTAGATCTTGCAGATTTTCAATCCACAATTAGCAATTTGTCATTAATTTCTGCTTCCAGACAGAATTAAAAACTCCCAACAAGAGAATTCAAATGTTTTAACGTAGTTTAGCAAACTTTCAGTCGTGAATACTCAAATGACCAATTTTCTACATGGACATAAAAACTTTAGAAACATTGGAAACGTTCCACGATGTCCATAGGTATCTTAAAGACATATGATTTATTTTTTCCTTTCCAGGCCAAAACAGAATGAAGTGGGGATTAACGGTTTAGAGAATCCAGGTTATGGTGCTGACAACATTTCAACAGTGGTACCACCTGGTGAGATTACCATCAATAACAATAACTCTACTGTGGAATATCTGCGTGATGATGTTCGGTTTGATACTCTTCCTAATATTAGATATATAGAATAAAATATTACTCCAGAACCTAACCAGTCTGCACCTTAAGTATAGAACACTGATTCAAATCGGTTGCCAATGATAGAGTTACCCAAGAAGGGTTCATGTATGCCATGCTGAAAAAGTACTTATTGAGACAGCAAGCGTGTAAACGATGTACATGTACTTTTTCATTTAACCCCGGTCTATATTAATAACCAGTGTCTTCTGACATGTTCTGTCTGTCAGCAATCTCAAGCTTGAGGATTTTAAATCTTCGCATTTTCTATTACAGCAATTTAATGTTTATACTTTATTTAATGTATGTATTAATCTAATTCTTAATTTATGTTAAGTGTATATATTCATAAATTTAGCGATTAATGTGAGATATTGATAACTGCTTTATTGGATTAGAAAAACAATGTTTTTTAAAATCATCTTAACGTATTTTTAATTTATGATCTTCTGGACAATCCACCTTGATAAATTGTGCACCTATAATTATACTTAGACTTAATATATTTTGTACGATTCGTTTCGGATTAAATAAATTTGTTTTATGACAGATGGATTGTGAAAATGTGAGAGAAAAGGGTATCGACACAATTAATGTTGGAGTGTGTATCGATTAACCGAGTATATTTCGATGTTTCTATATAGTGATAAAGCATATTTCGCGATTAGTGACTTCACCAAACATTTAGTTTTAGTGGAATTGTAGAAACCACAAAGGTCTGTTTGAAAATTGGAATGGTGCAAATTGATGTTATCAGTGTCCCTGTTTATGTGTCATGGGAGATAACTCGTTACTAACAAACCAACAAAACAGAGGATGTAGCCTGTACTGTATTATTATAACTTTAATTGATTTTCTCTACTATGTGATGATGTTGAAAAAAGTCAGTAAAATACGTCAAAGGTTTTTGTTTTATCTAGTAGGTCTTAACCCTAGTATATGCCTTGGGTAGATTTTATTTTGTGAATTGCTGATCAGAAATCAATTTAGAAAAACAGAAAGCAGCAGTACACACATCGTATTTATTATACCTTATTATCAACAATATCAAATTCAATGTCACCCACATTTAAACCCTTATTGTCTTTTCCAACGATTTTAGGATCTGGCATAACAAAATACAGTTTTTCCCAAAACCATGGATCCCCATATTCAACATATGTTCGTCTTTTCAGTAATAAACGTAGATCGGGATCCAGTAAATCGTCATCAATCTTTTCTTTCAAAATAACGATCAAATTCTCGGCATGTTCCGTTAACATAACGTGATGTGCAGTTTGAAATTCAAATTTACACCAATCATCTTGTAGAAAACTTTTAGATACAATTAGGATAGTCTTTCTGCTGTTATCAACAGCTTCTACAATACAATCGGCTTTAGATTCACCAACAGGAAAATCTCTAAAATTTAAACATAGTTTGAACTTTTTCTCATTTTCTAGTTTTTCAATCAATTCGTGTACAACGAAATTCTCTTCGTTTTCACCAAAACAAATAAATGCGTCATACGTAAACTCGCGTTGTTCTTTGGCAACATCAACTGGTACTGGAAGACGAACACCGAACTTATCATAAACAATAACTTGTATAATCCGTCGTTTCCAGATCAGAACGATGCCTAACGTTATAAGAAATATGGACAATAATGTAAGTCCGATAATGGTACCGATATACCTGTTATCATATGCAATCACTTGTCTTATATTAGTGTTATTAAATATTACAGTGTTATTTGAACACCAAGAACGATAATCGAAATCTAAAACTTGAACCTGGTTATCATCCAGTGTTATATTAGCTGGAATGATTGTTTCATCTGGCCATGAACACGTCATGTCTGAAATGTCGGATATCTTTAAAGCGTTTGATACTATCACATCTAGGAAAGAGTCCATAAAATCACACTCGCAGCTCCAAGAATTATGTGAGAGAGTTACGTTCCCCGATAAAGAATACATAAATTTTAATGATTCCACGCTATCCAAATCGTTAGAATGTAAGGTTAGAGATTTCAAGGAATTGAGCTCCACAAAACTATCCTGATATATTTTGACTACATTGTTATTATGAAGATATAGTTTCTGTAGAGATCCAAGCCTGCTGAATATTCCAGATAGGATAACAGTGATATTGTTATCATTGAGATATAGAGTGACTAGATTTGTTACTCCATCGAAGCAACCTGTTGATAGACTATTGATATTGTTATTATTCAGATATAGATGTTCGAGCTGTGGAAGAGATGGAAATGAATTATTGTCAAGCACGGTAATGTTATTACTAGATAGATCAATTGTGGTGGAATCCGGTGGCAACGCCGGGGGTATGGTTGTTTTATTCTTGTTACGACACATTATCTCATTTTTCCGGAACATCTCTGTGGCTTTTCTACAAATACAATCCACTGGACACCAATAAGCACACGAACACTTTCCAGTACCGGCAAATTGGCAACAAATACAATCCAATGGACATTCAAATTCATCCTTCTCATAAGAACACACGAATTCCGTAGCTGGATAATCCGTTAATCTAATCAAACCTGGTCCTGGATTCTTGCAATATGTTTCAGTTAAGTCAACAAAAGTTGGTAAATACCGATATTCTGTAGGAAGCTCAAAATCGGGAAGTGTCAACACCTTAAGCCATTCCATATTACAGTCGCATTGAAATTCATTAAAACCAATGAACACAGTCGGTTTGATTTTAGATGTTACCCACAAGCTGATAAAAGGAACACGAGTTAAATATGGATAATTTCCCTGAATACTGAGAGTATGTAATTGAGTTAACTTTCTAAAGATATTACTAAAATATGAAATGTGATTATATGAAAGTTCCAAGCCTACCAAAGATGACGGGAACATATCTGGTAAAATTTTAGATAATAAATTATTGTCTAAAAACAGAAATTGTAACTTAGTAAAATACGAAAGTTCATCATTGAGTGTTCTTATCTTGTTATTATCCAACCTTAACAAGATTAATTCGGACAGGTGTCCCCATGGTGTGGAATAATCAGGATGTTTTTCGATAAACTGAATTAAATTATAAGAGAAATCCAGAAATGTTATTTTTGATGAATCCTTCAATAATCTCGACGGTAAAGCCGTGATGTTATTATTACGTAAGCTCATACCTAGTAAGGATTTTAAACCATTAAAAGTATCTTCAGCGAGGAAGGTCAGTCGATTGTTCTTCAGGTCCAGATGAAGAAGCTGTTCGAGCTGCACGAAAGATGGTAAAGATTTCATACGGTTGTTATTCAGAAACAAATTCTGCAGGAAAACCGAATCGTTGAAAGTATTATTTTGTAAGGATGAGATTTTGTTATATGATAAATTTAGCATTCTCAAGTTTGTCAAGTCGTCAAAACTTTGAGAAGAGACATAAGTAATTTGGTTTGATGAAATGTCCAAATGGATGAGACTTGGTGGAGTTATTGCTCCTGAAAAGATGCTTCCAATGTTATTATATGATAAATCTAATATTTTCAAGTGTGTCAGACTATCAAAGACTCCTCTTCTTAACAATCTGATGCTATTCCGGGAAAGATCCAATACTTTTAGCTGTGTCATATTGTCAAACGTCGCTAACTGAATATCTTTAATATTAAACGATACTAAGGTTAATGATACTAAGTGTGTAAGAGATGATATGTTACTCAAGATGTTGCCTTCCGGTGCCACAAAATTCCTTAGTTCCAGTTCGACCAAAAAAGGAAACGTTTGTAAATTTGAACTGAAGATCTGGCCATTTCCGTAGAGTTTCAAGGTAGTTAAATTCGTCAAGGTATCCATCGACGAAATATCACTGTTTAAGGGAGTTTCGGATAAATCCAAAATTTGCAAGGACTCGAAGTTGTGGAAATAATTAATATCAATCTCAGTAGACGGATTGCGAGAAAATCTAAATGTTTTCAAAGACAGGGTACAATTTGACAGAACGGGAAGTCTGTTTAACTCATTATAACTAAGATCTAGTTCAGATAAAACACTATTTTCTCTTTCACATTCTGCTTCAAACGATCCGTAATCAGCAAGTTTATTGAATGAGACATTGAGATAAGATAAATCCACAATGTTAGATATTTCCGGAAATGACGTAATGTTACAATTAGTTATCTCCACTGATTGTAACGAGGAAGAATTCATCCTTAATGTTGCGTTTTTGATTCCACAATTTCGGATTGTTACAGCTTTCAATGAAACTATATCAAAAGTATAAGATTCAATGTGATAAAAATGACACTGTTCAAGTGAGAAATATGTGAGATTGGTGAATTTATCAAATAAACTGTTTGATATGGTTTGATTTTCTGATAAAATACACTTTATAATGAGACTGTTGATGGTTTCTGGTAAATTGTATATTGTATTTGATAGTTGATACACATCACAAATCGCTGTTAATGTACCATTTCCATTATCTTGACAATGACATTCTGGATTATCCGTGCACATATTTGCCGAGTCTGGTAGACATACTACTGGAAGAATCAGAGTTACCAAAACGGTAATCAGTACCCTAGAAAAAATTACAACATACGTAACAGATAGAGTGTTTGATTTTTTAAATGGTTTCCAATTAAATATCTTGTCAAACATTCATCATTAGACTTTGTTCAGCATTTGCGTCAATTCGTGTGTTCATTCAAAGAAAGAACATGCAGTCAAAATACCCATACAAACGTTTACAACCACACATAAAATCTCTGTCCTATCTGGGACTGTGCAACGTACAACTTGTCATATTTTAAGGTGCCCTCATAACATAGTGGTTACCAGTTGCGTATAATGAAAGTGGTCACGGGTACAGATTGCAACTCACAACTCAGTTGTTACTCACAACCATACGCAACTGATGATAGGTATGGTGTGAGAACCCCTTAATCAATATTTGGACATTCGAAATATATAGGTATAAATTTTTATTCAATTGTGATGTGTGCCAAAACAAATTCTAAGTTAGTGTCGTTCGGAACATGGCAAATTAAGAAACGTTTAATCATTGCAGTGACTCTCTTATTCATAATAGTTCTTGCATACGAACAGAAGAACACTAATATTTGACATACTCATATCTTTAACTGAATTAAACCTATTATATTAATAGCCTTCTAAACATAGTGACAATTAAAACTCACCACATTCTTTCCGGTCTTCCTTAATAAGATCTGTATGTATCCAGAACGCTTTAAATCCTTTCAGAAGCAAACTGTCTTTTATAATGTCTTGATCAAGGACAGAATTACACTGGAACTTGTTATCATGATATCCTTGTTTATATATGGTTTCACTGCCGCGTATTATTATCAACCACTTCAATAAATCTGTCACTAATTTCGACATAAACTAGCGATTACCGGAAACTCTTTAATGAATCGATCGAATCTGATTTGTCACTTCTACGTTTTAAAATATCAACTTGATTTCTAAATAAATTTTTAATTAAACTAGGTGTTTACATTACATTGAAAATGTCAAATATCTGAACAACGCCTTATCTCTTCGTCTCTGTTGTATGAATTACAAAAATGTTCATTCACATGTCCATTGAAAAAATCCAAATGATAACATAATAAATGTATTATCCAATCTTTATACAACCGGCAATTAAGATAAGAACATAAAAAAATGTCTGTGCATCTGTTCTTGTTTTTAATATTAACGTCCAAGTGAAGATAAGTCAAGGCCTGTACTTTTATATCACGTTGTCCATATCCTAGGAGCCTAATTTAATGTCAAAGTGTTACTAAATGTGTCCAAGATAGCGAGAGGTCATGTAAGTTATCTATGGATATATACACGACGTCGTAACTTTATCCGGTAAACAAAATGATGTCACCGAGGACATTCGTATAGGCTACAGTATGAACTAAATACTTTTAAATAGGTCACCTTAGAGAATACCACATGGATACTAGAAATAAAGAACAAAATACATAGAACATAGAAAATGGAAACTGTCAAATAACACGTTTACTTGTACATCCTTTTTACACTTTCAATAACATTATCCTATTATCCTATAACATACTATTGTGATGAAACTTTTACAAATTACGCAGTCAGATAAACATGTTTTATACGATTTGCAAAATATACATCAAACGGCTGACTCTTTGCTGACTGAATTACAATGGAGTGAAACTGAAATTCTTGAATGACAATGAAAAGGGGGCAATAGTTCACATCTGTATATCAGTGTCCGAGTTCAAGCCGATTGAGATACATTCTTACGAGGTTAAGGCGATTAGTTTATCTTGGTACGGATAAAGCTGAATTAAATTTTATAATTAACCATTGCAGGAAATCATGACTAATTTCAGTAATTCATTTATCTTATACCTACCAAAGTTGACACTTCCGATGATATATAACACGGTTTATCATTCAATGCAGGATAACCAAAATCATTTGATAGCCGATTATATCCGTAAAACAAATGAAAGTATCATAGTTTTAAAGAATATATACGGATATGCATGTCAGATGACATGTATTAGATATTATGTGACAGTTTTAGTTTGAACTTGTAACTTGTAAATATTGACACACCCAGTTAAACGTGAACTGAATTTTGATTTTTGAATAAAACCGTGTAATTTGAAAAATTCTTGGGAATCACACCATTCCGTAAGACATGACGCTACTAAGCAATTTGATTTGCCATATCTTCGAAGAGTTAAAAATAAAATGAAATATCAGCAACTGATGGGGTAATTTAACGTTGAGCCCCTCTCCATAGGGATGATTATTAAAGCCCGGGTCTAAAAATTCATAGCTGGTAGCCTTACTTTCTCGTACTGATACCATTTTACGACTGGGTCTGCCAACTCATGGCACACAGCAGATTGTTCACAAGAATATGTGTATATGCCATTTTATCAATACCACAGGGCTCTGTAGCAAAGTCTATTAGAGCGTTGGGTATTTATATTTATTTTGCTTGCTTACGTTGAACAAATGGTGATCGTGGGTTGTAATAATTGCCGGCGTATGAAAGTCAGATAACATTGAAGAAGATACGATAATCCGGGAAAGGTCAATTCCAAGAGGTGTGGCAAAGAACCAGCTGATAGAAAGGGTTCTCGTGTACTAAAAAATACAATTGTTTCTTTCTTTCTGTTAAAGTTTGGTTAAACCTTCTTTGGTTAAAGATGAATTCGCTCTTTCCAAAAGAAAAATGAAAAAACCGAACAATCTGATAAATAATTTATTAAGGACCAGTAGGTCACGAGAGGAAGACATAAGACAATATAATAAAATCATACAAAAATCTAACAACACGAATAGAATATTTGAACAATTTAATACTTGAAATGGAAGACGCTGGATATCTATTTATATGCATTGGTTAACAAACGACGAATATGAAATATTTGGCACAGAGTTATTTAAAGGAATGCATAAATCTTTCTATGACAATAAACCTTTCGGCTACGTAAGAGATAAGCATTTACTATATATACTTCTAAAGACGTCTACACTACAAATGGCAAGAAATGGAACATTATTACAATGCATATAATTTCTAATATTAATCGGAAAGAGATGAAATAATATGGAATAAGATGAAGTATAGCACTTTATTTGATGCTCTTAAACCTTTAAAATGGAGTTGGATCGTGAAGGCGGTGGATTATTAGGGATCGGTGGTGGAGGAATATAACGATCGATGGTGTTTGGGTTTATAGGATTGACTTCCTCATAATGTCCGGATGATGAATTATAATCTGAATTATGCAATGATTCTATTGTCTGATAATGGTTGTTTAACGGTACTTCATAAGCATCATCGTTACCAAGATCTTCAGTTATAACACTTATTGTTCTACTAACTCCATCCATTGGAAGACGCTCACGTTTAATGGTACCATTACGTTCTAATAATGGTAAACACGCGTTAGGCATAGCGTAATAAAGTTTATCCCAAAACCAAGGGTCGTTAAATTTGAGATAAGTTCTAGTTTTGAAATAAAGTTTTAACTGAGAATCGAGTTTATTTTGATTAATATCGTGTAGTAAGACTATAATTAAGCGGTTTTTCTTCTCTGTTAAAACTTGATGATGTGCTGTTTGAAACTCATAGCGACACCATTCACTTTGCAAGAAATTATCAGAAATAAGCATGATTGTACGTTTACTACATTCTATGCTGCGCACAATAGTTTCTGCAATACAAGCACCGACAGGGAAATCTCGATAATGGAGACAAAGCTTGAATTTCCTTTCACCATGTTCCAATCGAGGTGCTAAATGGTCTATCACAAATTTCTGGTCTTTGTTACTATACGATAAGAAGGCATCAAAGGGTCTCTGAATTTCTTCGTATTCGTCATCGGCATTATTATGAACTCGCCATCCATACTTAATAAAGCACCAAACTTTGATTAAATCTCGTTTCCAATAAGCAATAAGAAGAACACCTGCTATTATTCCTGTTGCAATCGAGATGATAATCAAAGCAGTTATATGAATATCTTTACCGATGGATTTGGTTTTGGATATGGTACTGTTTATATATTCGGTTTTATTCAGACCACATTGCTTTTTAACTCTTTCATCCAAAAGAGAAATGCTGTATTGAATATCATCCGACTCAGCTCTTTTGCGGGCACATTTGACGTTACTTATATCTTTTATTCGACCAGAATTGGTTGTTACAAAATCACTAAAAGAACACACGAACTTGAGTCCACAAGACCAAGGATTTCCACCGAGAGAGAAGATTGTTTTATTTGATACGTTGCTCACAAAATCTAAAGGAATGGTATGTATTGAGTTGTTTGCGAGGGATAACAATTTCAATGCAAGTAAATCCTGAAACGCAGTTTTTTTAATGGTCTGAATGTCATTATTATTAAGATAGATACGTTCCAGTTTATTGAGAGCATTAAATGTAAACGATGGAATTGTGTGCAATGCATTTTCATTTAAGTAGATGTCAACTACATCGTTTAAACCCTGAAATGATGCATTACCAAAGTAACGAACATTGCTGTTATTTAAATAGATAGTTTTAACATTGTCTAATCCAATAAAAGCACCATCGGGAATAGATGTAATATTATTTCCATCTAAAAGTAACTCGGTCACTGCTTTCGGGATAGATTCTGGTACTGACGTAAGGTTACGATTCTCACAATGTACTTTATGTATATTAGTTTTATCATCCGACATAAGACAAGAACAAGACTCGGGACATTGATATTTACAAAAACACTGTTCGACACCACAACACGGGCAGTTATATTCACATTTCTCCCGATACGAACATAAAAAATGAGAACGGGGCACAACACGGAATGGCTTTGGATCGGAGTCGTAGACGGTAGTACACAACACTAACACAATGTCCACAATATTGGGATATAGGTCAACATTTCCTGCGTCACCATCCATTACTCCTTTAAGCCAGGACAAAGAACAGTCACAACTGAGCGGATTGGCACTAATATAAAAAGTTGGTTTGGGATGAGCATTTCTCGAAATCTCAACAGACAACACGGGTAACGAGGTTAAATTATTAAAATCTATTCTCACATTTTTCAGCTGATGCATTGTTCTAAATGTAAACGGAGCAATATAGTTGATAGCATTTCTGGATAAATCGATCTTTTGAACTGAATCGGGAAACTGACCACGATAAACTTTGGTAATAAAATTGAAAGACAAATCCAGTTCCATCAGATTAGGCAAGTTGCTTAAAACGGTTACCGTTTCAGTCAGTTTATTAAAACTAAGGTCTAATTTTAGAAGGTTCTCTAATTTAAGAAACCCTCCAGCTGAAATATCACGAATATCATTATCAGACAGACACAAGGTTTCCAACTTACGACAATGTTGAAACACACCATGTGGTATATAATCCAATTGATTATGACGAAGATTCAGGTCTGTCACCGCTGATAATCCATAAAAGGTGGTAATATCCACAGCACTCAGATTGTTATGACTTAAATCCAAAATATCCACTGATTTCATATCATGAAAACTTGGGTACACTGTTAACGTATTATGGGACAGATTTAAAGTCCTTAATGCCGGAAGTGCCACGAACACTTCCGGTTGCAACGTAAGTAGACTATTCTGACTTAAGTCTACTAGTTTCAGTTTTCGCAATCCTTTAAACGCGGATTTAGAGAAGTCAGTGATGTTATTCTTAGATAAATCCAATGACTTGAGACTATGAACAAATTTAAATGCTTGTTTTGGAATAGATTGGATGAGATTATTAGATAAATTTAAATTTCGGAGACGATATTGGTCTTTAAATGTGAATATATTGAAATAAGTAATAGAGTTATTGGAGAGATCAAGTTCTATGAGTAAAGGCATTCTTTCCATCACTTGATTGTTTATTCTACTGATTCTATTAGAATGAAGACTTAATTCTCCCAGACGTTTTAACAATAAAAATTCATTCCAGATATTGTCGGTTAAAGAGAGATTGTGTAAAAAGAGATGTGAAAGTTTTGTATGGTTGGCTATTATGCCTTGTGGTAATGTTTCAACTGGGTTGCTACCCAAAGCTAACACTTGCAAATTTGAGCAATTACGAATGACATCTCTTTCGAACTCAGTCATCGAATTATTGCTTAGATCCAGCCACATTAATTGTGTAAGTTTATTTAGAGTATTCTGTTCGATGACACTTATATTGTTATCAGAAGACGTCAGACGTTTTAAGTTAGGAAACGAATCTCCGAACCATACCGGGATGTGCTCGATGCTGTTGTAACTGACATCAAGTACCTCTAGATTAGGAATATTATCACCGGAATCGTCACATCGAACTCCAGTCTTATCATAACTTGAAATATCATTATGTGAAATATTCAGAGTTCTAAGGGTTTTAATGTTACACAGATTTGGCATGTGTCGAACACCACTTGCGACAAGTTCTAAAAGTCTTAATTTAGGCAATGGTCTAAAGCTGTTTTCGTGTATCAGCGACAAGGATGTGTGTTTGATTGTAAGTTCCTCTAGTTTATTCAACCCAGCAAAAGCTAGCTCTGGTAGTTGACTAATCTGACAATTTTCTATTTTTAACACCATTAATTTTGGTAAGCTCCTAAACATATTATCCCAAAGCGTACTCCATTCATTTTTAATATCGTCGCATCTTATTATCAAAAATTTAGAATCGTTGCTAGGTAACAGTTCAAAATTGACACTTTTCTTTCGTAACCATGGTAATTTGCAGGTCCACAGGATTCCTTGGTCGAAGTATGTTGGTGAACACAAGCATGAAGCATCGTTGCATGTCAGTTGACCTCGACCTAGACCGGAAACAAGTGATAATAGCAATATCTTCAGGGGAGTTAACAACGCCATCCTGAAAAGAGAATATATAAATATAATTAATTTCTAATAAGATGATGGAAACGGTGATATTGATAGAAATAACATCACTTCCTTTATAACAATAATATTTACATAGAAATAAGAGCTTTATTTTGATTACCAAACCACCTGGACGTTACAGTATTTTGGACTGTGTCAATATGCAAATTCATTATTGTGTATTAATTAATCCTGTTATCCTACACATCAAGTCCGTTATTGAATACATTTTTTCCGACTAGGAATAGACTTCATGGTGGCAACTGACTATTTGAAGTTGTTTTGTTTCCTGCTCTTGCAGATTACCAGATCAAGATTTATAACTCAAATGGAATAACACAAATGTCTAAATCTGGTGGTAGACTTAACATTAACATTTAAAGGACGCAGAAAGGCTTTCAAAATACAATGAATCCAATTTGTAGACGCTAAATTTAGACTCACTATTGGAAGAGTGGGCAATATCTTTTAGGTGCAATGATCTACAGTACAATGAATCTTTAAATCAATTTTGGTCATCAGAAGCAATTGCCATGAACAATCAAGATAGATAGTTTACATATAATTCTAGAAACTAAATAATGCCCCAAATATTATCATCCTTTTGGCACTAATACTATTTATTCTATATAAAATGTTTGTCCACGCTAGTCAATTAAATTCTCTTCCTGATAGCCGTCAAAATTATTGATTTACTTAGTGTTCCGATGAAACTACTGACTTGTGAAGAAAACGGAGTTAAATATACATCAAATCAGATACATTTTCAGATAAAAAGTCAATATTTTCTCTGGTAAGGTTGTGAATCACTTTGCTGAAAATAATTAACTTCCAGCCGAATCTAGAATCTAACACATCCTTGTATACGAAAATGTGGCAGTAAGTGGTTAGAATTGAATGGGTGTGAAGAACGGAGGGGGGGTTTCTTGTGAACTTGAACAGTCTGAAGTACGTGAATCGTGCATGGGCAGAATTTGAGCATTTTGAAAATTACTATTAATGCTGAAATTAAGCAATGTGGGCGGGAAAACTAGATATTCATAGGTTCGTGTAAGTACACACTTTTACCTCTCATATACATAATATAATGATACACCAGCCTGTAATTTGTATTTTAAATGTCACAAATAATGTTCTAATAAATGTCAAACCAGCCTCCATGATTTAGAAAGCCAATTTGAGATTCTAAATAGATCTAATTCCATGAGAATATCCTGATTATAGTACTAAAAGCCAATCACAATTTGTTCAAATCATAACAGATAGCTCGTATAATCAAACTAGAATAAGTCGATGATTTTCATATCAAACCTGTACAGTTACTGCCAGCGATTCTTACAATAAATCACTTTGCTCTTAGATATATTTGAATAGCACTCCATGTGCTGTATTTAAAGCAAACAAGGTTATTATTACACTTCGATTTTCTCTTTCGATCAGTGATTGTCTATTTTTATTAGTGACATAAATACACTAATAAAATACATAAAAATCAAGAACTATATTGTACTTCACAAAATCAGAAATATTATACTACGAAATACAGAATTCAATAAATCATCACAATTTATTGAAGAACATGACATATACGACATTGTGTTAATAATAATGAAGAAAATGGATACATACAACGGCCATAATAATGATAGAATCGATGTGCGTTAACAAGTTTTCAATATATTCTAACTATTAACAAAGATTGTAGACGCTTTCCATTTTAAGGTTTGACATTTATATTTTGCAGGCAATCTAAATGAGGTTCATACGGTTCCTGTTACAGTTTCAACACTTAACATTTTTGACGTTGTGCCAGTAAGATGATGTGGTCAGTATCTTTTAACAAATATCTACAGGTGTAAAACGTTAACACGTGTGGATAGCTGCACATTCTTTCAGTTGGAGTGTAGTTTATCTAAATGGTCATGGTAAATAATTGAACTGGTAACCTATACTCGTTATCTATCATCAAAATAAATTGTTATTGAACATTTCATATAAATCATATTAATAAAAATTTATAATTATTCAAATAATGTGAACTTTGATTATCATTCAACACATCCATTTAACATCTTCATAAGATACTGATTACAAGCATCATCAACGGTCTGTTTGGTCAAAAACTCCAAACAATGTAAAAAGTCGGCATGGCCTTGGTCTCAAACAAAACAGCATTGCTCAACACACCTGTTTGAAATCAAGGTCAAAGCATTGCTATTGCAAGTCGAACATAAATCATAGCTAAAAGCAGTTCGTTGCAAGTTCGTTGATCTTAAATATGAAGCATTGTTACAGTTAAATTGACCTTGATCTCAAGCATTTTGTTATAGTCACTTTCACAATTATCTCAAACATCAAGCATTGTTACGGTCCTGTTTGACTTTGATCTCGGTCATAAAGCATTGTTACAAGGCGGTTTAATCTTGATCTCAAACATCAATAATCGAAAAAAGTATTGCCTCTTGATCTCAAGCATCAACTTGATCAAACATCATGCTTCGTGGAAAGCATAACACACCAAAGTGTTTTTGGATCTCAGGCATCGTTTTATGAAGGATTGATCCCATGTCCCTTTATCAAACATTCAAGCACTGGTAAACAAATTCCAAACCCAAAACATGAGATATAAGAATGCTACAAACCTGTATTTGTGTATTTTCTGTTAATGACATCAATCAGTAATATACACTGTATAATAACCCATATCATTTCTACAACATCTATTCTTAGAACTGTCTTCTTCTGAAACCATTCTAGATGTTAATATAATTATATTCCTTAACACACTGAAAATACAAAATACATCATGTGTTAGTTCAAAAATTGCAAATGAAAATGAGATTAATGGAGTTTTACGTCCTACGTTTAGTACGTCTGCCAGAAAACCAGATGTTTGTGAATAATGTTTTGCATCTGAACATATTACTCAAAGCGGGAAGAAATCTTACCAATGTGATGTTTTGCTGGGTCAAGTGAACTTACTGATAAACTCATACTGAAACCTTTGCACTGTGATGTTTGTAAAAAATATTTTACTACTACAAGTTTACTAAAAGTTGACGTCACATATCGTAAAGTACTTTTCGATTAGTGACATCAGAAAACACATGGTTTTAGTGGAAATGCAGAAACCAGAAACATCTGATTGAAAATTGGAATCGTGCAAATTGAAGCTATCAATGTCCCCGATACACATAAAAAAAAAATAGAAAATCTTTTTAAGTACAATATTGTATTGGTCAAAAGATGACGAAGCTGTCCCTTATATGCATTGATAATCTCTTGTTCGTCTTTCAAAACAATTCATTTTTGAATAATAATCACTCATATCGAGCTTAAATAGATGTAATTCACGTTCTGAAAGGTGACTGCAAGTTATGATGGAACATGAAAAAAAATATGAATTAATATCATGAATAATATTCATACCAAGATACAGTCTTTATATGCAGATTATATTTTAATATAACTATTGTTGAGAAATATTGGAGATGATTTTAAGTGAACAATAGATTCGGCCAATATCGCAGATGTCGATAGATGTATTGACCCGGAAACGCCCTCATCTTGTAAAGATGTTGACCAGGGCCTTAAAACTAATTACTCTCCAGAGAATCGATCTCAATTTAAAGTGGACATCAAATTCTGTCTTGTGAATATCGTGCTATAAACACTGTTTTCTTTGTTTACCATTTCCCTTTAAAGGAGGGAAAATTCACAAGAAGTTATGTTCTATGTGACGCCCTTTAGGACACGTAGTAGTATTAAGTAGTTTCTTTATAAAGTTAAACATCTTGTGATTCGTAAGTGGATGACATTCTTCAAATAAAACCATTTCCGTTATTACAGATGTAGGATTTGATTGCGTTTTCAGGAAACATACTGTCCTTTCTTTCAAAGAAATACTAACTTTCCTTCTATGCTTCTACAGTTTGTCTTTTAGAGTCGTTTACTCCTGATGATGACAAAGTAAATTGTTGAAACGTTGTGTAAAACCCATAATATTGTGTTCCGTCATTTATTCGTGAAACTTTTCGACTTTATATGAGAAAGCCAGTTTACATGGTTCCCTTATCCTTAAGACATCACTTCTCTATTCCAGCGGAACAGAAGAAATTATGGTTTTTCTACTGGACTTTCCATGATAGGTTATTACTGACAACGATTAATGGTACAATATTGTTCAATATTCATACTTGCCTCCATAGTACCTCATTTGTTACATTTTAAAAGAAAGAAAGTGATTGTAATCCATTTAGACTCATATTCTAAATGTTTCGATTGTTGAAATATCTCATTGAATGACTTGCAATGAAAACAAAGGCAGTTTGTTAAGATTATGGTCTTGTAGCTCGAGGTCAAAGGTTATAAAAATGTCAAGGTCATGATGTAATATTTATCAATTAAAGATAATTAATGAGTAGGATTAAGATAATAATCAAACAGGATTAAGTTGGATTAATGATGTTACATCACGTATTTGATTGACTTTTAGTGTTTGCATTTCACTTACCCAGTGATATATTACAGATACTTTTATGTGTGGTTTAACTAAAGACCCATGTACATGACACGTAACATAATGCACCACGCATTTAGATTATGTAAGTCTGTTATACAAAATTAAAAATGTCTGACGTGTTGCAGAGCACTTGAGATTTTAAAGTCAAGAAGTACACGAACTCAGGGAAAATAAACCTAATGATTTTCAAATCCAATGTGACTTCATTCATATAAATCCTGAGTCGTTCAGAGCTCCATTTCACATCATTGGTAATGTCGGATTGCGGACCCTAATTTATGGATAGTGACTTCGATTTGGATGTACATACGTTAGTTTTCTCCTTATGGTAATAAAGCTTTCAGCTAATGGTGTCCGAGATTGC